TTTAAGCCCCCCCGCTCACTACAGCAATAATCTCTTAATGGTCCGTATAGCAATAGTTACTGTAATTTGCACTCGAACCCTATTCTAGATCAGTTCTCTATATTCGACCTTCAAGTAGTTAATTTTTCTGATGGGCCCTGGCTCTCTGTGAGCCTTACCCTTAAATCCTCAACTCTGAAGCCTCTATACCACAAGCCCCAAAACCTGAACCCTAGACCCTCAATAGGGTGTAGGGAAGTTGAGGATTTAAGGGTTTTGGGACCCGCTCCGAGGTTGATGGGCACTTATCGTTCAGGATTAAGGCTTACTTGTGGATCCGAGACTCTACTGTTTTCAGTGTTAATGTAGGGGCCTTAATAATCAGAACAGGGTTTCGGGGCCCATTCTACTATCTCTTTAATAAGGACCCCCCCCCAAACAAAAACAAAAATAGTATAGGTAATAATTAAGGCGCCTGTATTTGGTCCTACAGTAATGGGTCCAAACCGACGGGTTTGGGGCTACAGGATGTCTTTGTACTGAGTCCCTTGGCATTATAAGAGTCTGACTGGTCAGGGTTCTATAAAGGGTCTAAACTACATGAATAGAAATCCAAACGCGAGAGCTACAGTAAGAACAGAGCATGAATAGTCAGTGGGACTCTGCCTCAAGGCTTTAAGATCCCTCACAAATTAATCCTTCAATGTTCCCTAAGCCACAGCGAAATCGCGAAGAAAAATCCTCAACCCTAAGCCCTAAAAACTAAAAACCCTAAACCCTAAACCCTAAAAATACTAAACCCTAAACCCTAAACCCTGAACCCTCAACAGGCTCGTGGGCCTTCGGAAAGTTCATGTAGGTCCAGTACGCGACTCCCTTCTCGGCAGAGGTTGTTGTAGATGCCTGCCTCTGGGTATTTTAAGGGTTTAGGGTTTAAGGCGAATGTGGGATTCAGGGGCAGTTGGCGGGTGTGGGCCTGGGCCATACATACTAGCATTCTGAACTAAGGCACGAAAAGCCAATCCCTGATTTGCTTGTTTGGATCATACTGCCATAATGGTAGTATATATGATCCCGGTTCTCGGTTCACCGACCCCCCCCCCAATGGTATCCCCCCC